AAATTGTGAGATAAAATAACATATTACCAATGACCTAACGGCTTCACAATTTTTTTTTTTCTTTTAAAGAAAAAGAGAGAAGAGAGAAAAGTACCTGTAAATCAGAACCCTAATTCCAGAGCGTACAAGTGAACCCACGGTGTAAATGGTGGGTGTCAATAAGTTTGTCAAATCATATTCCAAAATACTGCAACAAATAAATCAAAATAAATAAATAAATCATGAAAAATAGAAGTTGCACTTTGTTTATAGTTTCTTGAAATGAAACTTTTAAACCCTACTTTCATTCCTGCATTTTTTTCGCGCATATATATATATATATATTTAAGGGTTTTTAAAATTTAAGCCTATTTTAAAAAGTTAAAAAAATACTTTTCAAAATTTTTTTTAAATGTGAAAACATACCATAAAAATAAAATATGTGAGAAAAATATAAAATCAAAAACCAAATGGTAATGACCTAAATTTTCAGATTTTATTTCTAGCTTTCAGATCTGATCGAGAAATCTGTCTTTTTTTTCTCTCTCCTTTTCTTTTAGCTATTTCATTTCATGTCCGTATTTTTTTTTCTATAAATAATTTATATATTTTGAAAACAATAAAATCTGATTTGTTTGTTTCCAGTTTCAAGTTTTAGAAAACATAAATTAAAACTTTACTACTTTATAACTTTTTGACTTATAAAAAGCATAATTTTAAAAATTTAAAGCAACGTAAATAATAATTACGAACCTTTTATTTTTCCTTAAGTTAAATTTTCAACTTTTTTTATAATTTAAAAAATTTTAGAAAACAAGAAAAAGGATATTGCAACTAAAAACAAATTGATATTTCTGTACTCAATTAAACATTTAAAAAAGTTATAGCGCTATTTTAGTTCATATATTTTTAGTCTTGGTTCATTTTGATCTCTTAACTTTTATGTTCATTTTGTTCCCTGATTACACTCTCAAATTTGGTTCATTTTAAGGTGTGTTTGGGAGTGATCTTGGTATCGTTAAAATGACTTTCTTTTCCATTAATCAAGTATGTGAAATTAGAAAATTGATTTTAGAAAAACTTAAAATCACTTTAATTGATTTTGAATGTATACGGTGATTTTGGAAAATCATTTCTACTTAAATCTATTTTTTTAAAAATCAATAATTCTAATCATCATCACTCCCAAACACACCCTTAGACCATATACTTTTCGTTTTGGTCCCTATACTTTTAAAAGTGACTATTTTCATTCTTATTTTCAAATTTTATATACAAATTCTGCACGTAATGAAAATCATTTAATATAAAGTCATGGTTACATTTCAATAAATATTTTGCCTATAGTGTCATGTTGAAATTTTGATAGAAAAAACGAGATTAAAAATAAAATTAACTGACGAAAATGGTCACTTTTGAAAAGTATAGAAACAAAAACGAATATTTTGAAATACATGAACTAAAATGAACAAAAGTTGAAAAGAATAAAGAGTAAATAGTATTTAAAAAAAATAACAATCAAATAAATTTTATTTTTATTTCCTGAAAATTATAGAAAAATAAATAAAAATGAAAAAATTAGCGAAAAAAATATAAAATGAGTAACTCAAAGTTTAAGAGGCAGAAGAAATAGTTACTTGCTACAGAGGTTCCAACGGAAAACATTATCCAATATAGCATGAAGAGCCTTCTGGACATCCACTCTATTCAGGTATGCATCCACTTCATTAAATATGCAAACGTCTATTTTCCCATTATCTTCCTACACCCATCAAAATTCAATATTTTTCATTCTAATTAATCCATCAACTAGTTCCTTGCAAAATGTTATAAATTTGGTTTTAATTTTAGTCTTTTTTCTTTTTTTTTTTTTCGTATTTTCAAGTAAAGATTTGAACGTGAACTTTTGGAAAGGTAAGTAACGTAGTGATAAATTGAAATATATTCACATGTGCTCTCGTCCAAAGCTATTAATTGTTAAAAAAGAAAAAGGGAAAATATATTTTTGATTCACTAGGCTGGAGAAAAATGTTTGGCCTAATTTTAGTCTATAAGCTTAAGGAATACTGGAATTTATATGAAATGATAAGAACCTATCACATCTTTTAATGGTAAATCAACATCATCATTATTTGTACCTTTTCAATTATAAAGTGTACTAAAAAAGAACTTATACCCAATTAGAAGTGTTTTTACCTATTTTTTTTTATGTGTTTATAAATGATCCAACAATTAAACTCTTTAAAAATAAATTTATAAAACTAATTTCTAGGTAGGTGACCATCATGTAGTTTGAACCCATTCTTTCTAGATTCTTTTTTATTTTCCTTGAACCATTTGAATCAATAAGCCAACTTATAATGATGGTTCACTTTGGTTGGTGTACTTTGAAAACATATTCATTTTAGTATTTACTTTCAATTTTTATTGCCTTTAGTTCCATAAATTTTGGAAAGGTCCAAAGTGACTATTTTGGTCTATGAAATTTCACTTTTTTTTTAATTATATTTTAACATGATATTCGCTTACTAAATTTTTTGAAACGTAGTCATAAATTTGTATTAAAGATTTTTTTATTATGTATAAAATTTTTATTATAATTTTGGACAGATCAAAATGATCACTTTTCAAAATACATGATTAAAATCAACGTTTTGAAAGACCCAAATGATTGAAAGCCAAAAGTACAATTACAAAAATAGTATTTAAATCTAAATTCTGCTGGATCAGCTGTGGTTGAGTTTTGTGGCATAGAAGTTTAAACTATAATTTGGTAGTGGCATGATGTGAGCAACATGTTAGTAAAATTAGGTTAAACATTTGGGGTTAGTAAGCTTGGTTTTAAAATTTAAATTTATAGGAAAATTGAAAAAACTGACCGAGAACTGTGGGAGGGCAGCGGAAGCAGGTTTTGGATCAGATTGGTTCGGGCGTTGGGCGGAGGCGAGTGAATGGAAGTGGAGCCTTCCAGCAGCCGCCGGCTGTGAGTTAGTTGGCGGTGACAGACACACGTCAAGATTCACAGAATACACATTCACGAAATCAGAAATCTCTTGCGTCACCAACTCGTTGACTTCAGAGCACGCTGCTGAAACATTGCGATTGATCTCCTCTCTTACGATCTGAGAACTGCTGCAAACTGTGTTCACAAGCTTATGTGTGGCGTCCGATATCACCCCGTGAGACCACAAATAATCGCCTCGCGAATTGAAATCCGTGTTGAATTCCAACAGCGGATTCCCTATCTACACTTCAAACGAACCAAAAAAAAAAATTATTTACGTAAACACCTTTTTGAGAAAATTAAGAATATATTTTAACATGACTAAAATAACTATACTTTTTATTCACCATGTTTGGTAAACAGATATTATTTGAGCGTTGGTTTTGGAAAATCAATTATTATGTGTCAAATTCTCTCTATGAACTTAAAATATTAATAATTCAAAATTATTTTTAATTAAAATTATTTTTAATTAGATAGAAATCACTTTAAAAAGTATAGTCAAACTTTAAAATAATTATATAAAAGTCACTTTCACAAAATCAACCATCATGAAATCTCTTTTTCTTTTTTAAAATCACGATCATTCCTAAATAAGCTCTAATTAGTTGAAAAAAGCACTTACCGCTATTGCCTTGAGTTTAATGTTGAGTTGTTTGGATTGGACTATGAGTCTTGCAAGTTGTGGAACGTAATGACCTGCGTAGCTCTCTCCGGTGATGTAGAAATCTCGATTTTTGTATTTTGGAAAATTCTCCAACCATTGTTCTAGGAAAATCAAGTTGTCTTGTGCTGTTACAAATTATAGGAAACGTGTTTATCAGATACGTTTTTGTGAGTGGTGTACTTCTAAATTATTAATTAAAACTACTTTTGTCAGAAAAAAAGTTGAACCAATTTTTAATACATCAAAGATAAAATTGAAAAATAATTCTGTGAGAGAATGATCTCAAAATAGTTTTAGAATAGTTTTAGAAGCGAGCTTCACAATACTGAAAGAGAAAAATTTTAATTGGTTAGCAAACTCATTTTCATATTTGTAGATACAAGAAGATTATAATTTTGTGTACATGATAATTTTAAAAAAAAATTCATGTGTTTATTTAGTCATTTCTACATAATTTATTTTTTCTCATTCTATATTTTACTAATTTATATTGCATAATAGACTATATCAATGACAACATGATTTATCACTTACCAGTGATAATAATATGTCTTATCACTTATAGAATGAATGTATGTTTAAGAGCTATTTTAATATTTTTTTGTAAGTGGTTTGAATTCCTTTTCCTATATACACAAATTCAAAATATTGTTGTTATATTTGTAATTAATTAATTGAGTTAATTTTGTCATATATGAAATCACCCCTTTTAGATTAGCCAACAAATATCATTATGACAATGAAAACAGATTCTTAGACACACATAGTATAAAGTGATTTATGATAATGTGTTCAAACTTATAAGAATAACTCACCTGTAATTTTATCATTAACCGTGCTATAAAATGTAGTGTTTGCAGAAAATGAGAAGCCAACTCCTGCCGGAGATTCAAGATATAGTATATTTGCCACTACCAAGTTAACAAACAAAGTATTGTATAAGTTATTAAAGTTAGGATTTGAAAAAAAAAATAATGCATATTGACAATAACAAAGAGAGGAAAAAAAAGACAAATCCATATATAGGAAAACAAACCAGTGTTCCAGCTAAATTCATTATGAATCAAAACATCCCCTTTAGGTCTAAAAGGACCATGCTCAAGGAAAGCTCCGGCGCCAACTGATGAACAACCGGGACCTTAAACAAAGGAACAAACGTTACGCATTAAAAATATGCTTCACCAATATTCCTAACAATATATAATGTCTAATATTTGCAACATTAATCGTAATTTTATGCTGAGAATATCTAAAGTAATTAAAGACTTGTTTGATAATATTTTCTTTTTCTAATTTTGAAAATTAAACTTATGAAACAGTACTACTTTTTACACAATTTTTTTTTCTTTGTTTTGTTCTCTACTTGTTTAAAAGTATTCAAAATTCAAGTTAATTTTTAAAAAGTAAAAAAAAAAAAAGTTGTTTTGAACCACTAGTTATGTTTCCTAAATTTCATTTAAACATGTTTTTAAAAAAGGCATAATTCTTAAAAACAAAATAGTTATCAATTAGGGTCTAAAATTAGCCTTGGATCAAAGTAATTACAATTTTTAATTATATGAACTGGTTTTTTCTCCTAAGTCCCACAATTGCAGAGTGAGGATGAAACCATCCATGTTTGAAATTCATGCTCAGACTAGTATATGAACTAACACTTTTACAATAAAGTTTTGAGTAATAAAAGGATTTAGGTGTAAATTAAGGTCCGTTTTGTAACGTTATTTTTTATTGTTTCAATTTTCTCATTTTTTTTATAAAGAAAAATAAAATTGCATGACCCTTACCACCCATTGATTCAAGAATTATAACACATATTTTTATTTAGGTTGAAAAAAATTGAAAATGTGAACAAGAAAACAAGAAATTCGTTTTCGTTGTTTCAAAAATTTCTATACAATTTTGAGAATTTTTCTAAAAAATAAGAAACAATAAACATAAATCGTTGTTAAATACTTAGATTTCTATATATAAAAAAAAGAAACGAAAACGTTACGAAACGGGTCTTTAATTACCTCCATTCAGCCAAAGAACAAGAGGCTTGGAAGCGGGGTCGGTGTGCGCCTCCACAAAGTAGTAGAAGAGATTTCTGTTTTGAAAGACATCGACGGAAATATATCCTGAAAATTGTTGGAAGCTAACACTTGGTTGGCCCGGCAGCCTCGCGATCCTATCACCTTCCTTAGAACACTCTCCAAATTTAAACCAAATTTGGATCAACATTACCCACCCAATTATAATACCCATTTTACCCTTCATTGTGTTGGATCACTCCTTTCAACCCTCACAAACGCTCCCCTCAATCTCCCCTCAATCTCCCCTCAATCTCCCCATCTATTTATATACTCATATACCCTACCGATATCATAGTTCTACCTATAATTATAATATTTCAGACCAAATTTTAAATCCGCCGTTGGTACAAAATGTTAGTTTGGAAAATGTTAACAAAATATCAATAATTAATGTAAAATATTGTTTTTTAACCTAGTTAAAATGTATCACTGGCTTATTTAGTAATTTAAGTATTTTTTTAATGATTTCTTTTTTGTTTCTATGAGTTATCTAGAAATATAATATCCATCAACGTCTACATTTTATTGATATTGTGTCGTTAGTTTCAAAAAACTTGAGACCTAATTGATAAGTTGTTGTTGCCTATAAAATTGGCTTTTACCTACAAACCTCTTTTATCAATACGTGAAGTTGTTGCCTCACGACATTTAATTGATATGATATGATATTTAGCAAGTTTTGACAGAAATTTAGAGAAATAAATATTGGACCACCTTAAGTAAGAAAGAGTAAAATTTTTTGCCAACCTTTTTGAAATTATTATAAGTTTTTGACAGAAATTTAGAGAAATAAATATTGGACCACCTTGAGTAAGAAAGAGTAAAATTTTTTGCCAACCTTTTTGAAATTATTATAAATTTTTCTGTCTAATTTTTCTTTTTTAAATTTCTATTAAGGGTTCATCTTTTTTTTTTTTAAAACATTCTCAAAATTATATAGAAATTTTGGAAACAATAGTTCTCATTTCCAATTTGTTCCAAAATAATGTAAATAAAAATATTGTTTTATAATTCGTGAATCCATGGATGTTAGAGCCATTCAATCATATTTTTCCTTATTAAAAAGGAAGAAACAAAAACAAGAAGTACTAGCATTACCAAACGGTCAATAAATATCATGTTATCAAGACTAATTTTAACCTTCACCAATGCCAAGGATATAATTAAAAATTGCTAAAACACAAAGGATTGAATTGAAACTTTTGAATAACGAAAACTAAATTTAAAATATATGTGAATATTCGAGAGTAAAACATATGTTTAACAAAATTCTTGTTATGTTCTCCAACCCAAGCACCTAGAATACCACTTTTTTATTTTTATTTTTTTTTCTCTTTTTCATTAGAAGTTTCTGATCTGTTTGTTGTTGGAACGACCATTCTCTTCATTCGGATTGTACCACAAGAATATATCATTTTCCTTTGTCATTTTCATAAAAGGTAAAACTTGCCGGCGTTAATCTCCACTTATGAGAAAAATAGTTTATGATTTTTGGCAATTGCCCAAGGTTTTTTTCTTCTTCTTGTAGTTTCATCAATAACACCAATGTATTATAATTTGCAGTCGTTGGCCGGCTTCCTACTTTGTTATATATTATTTTAGATGGACAGTTTAATTTCGGGTATACAATTCTTCTTAATAATTAGGGTCAATTTTGTTTCTTATTTCCTCTTTTTAGTAAAAAAAACACAATTGCATTTGGTAACTATTTTTTGTTAGGAATGAGAAAGTCCATACATGTCACCCAACTTGTCCCCTTTCCAAGGGCTTTGGGATAACTCATTTTCGTGGGAAGCCTACTAGGAGAGTGGTGCTTCTTCTCAGCCTGCGTTATGCCCGTTCCAAGGCATTGAACATGCCGAGCACGAGGACATCGATAGACGCGTCTCCATCAACCAAGGCTCTGTGAACCTTGACGTTGTTGATCATCTAGGTGATAATCAGGACTTGTTGTTGAGTTGATGGTGGTCAATAGTCTATTCTTCCGCGAAGGTGATTGGCAAGGTTGGTTTGGCTGCTTGAACAAAAAACAAAAATTTGAAGAAAATAAAAAGCAAAAATCTTCCATAATTTCGAAAATATGACTACCTAAAATGCTAAAGAAATAATTAAAATAGGCAAATGAAATCTGAAGCAAAATATTTTTTAAAACAAATAAAAGGAAAAATCTATTCCCTATTTGTTATAGATTGGGCAGCAAGCAAGCTTTGGCGCCAAGGCATGGGCGGGGGCACTAAGGGCAGGCGACTAGGCGTTTATGAGGGGCAGTAGGCATGGGTACTGGGTGTGGGCGGCAAGTAGTGTGGGCGCTGGGTGTTGTAGGCATGCTTGTCCAGGGTGCTTTTCTTTCATGTCTTTAAAGCTTTCTAGTGTAGTTTGCTTGTATCGAGTTTTTGGGGTTGTAGGTGGAATTTGGCCGAGCGGCTTTGGAACTAGGTGTGTATTGGTAAGATATGTAAGCACGCCAAATTGCAAGCCAATCGGAGTTCACACGGGCCCTGTAGGCCACCGAGTGACTCCTCGCCACTTTGCACGTCTACACCTGCCACTCCAAAAATGCCTTATAATGTAAGGGGTAGGGGGACCAAGTAGTCATCAAACCTCCCCCCGACCAAGTGTTGTATACTTTCTTGCAATCAAAGCTTTCTTGCATCCAATATTTACAATGCTTGTTTTAAAGATGTTTTCAACTGTTTTTCTCTCTCACGTTTTCTAAAACCAATTTTCTCGTAAAACGTGAGTGGAGGCTAGACCAATGACATAGATTGCCCGCAACTTATAGTTTTTCTCGGCTGATTTGCTCGTTTGAGCTAGAGCAAGTGCCACACAATCGCTCAAGCTGCATTAAAAAGGTGCGATTGTGACAAGTGGTATCAGAGCTTAGTTAGCTCTTTGACCCGAGAAAGTCCGGAACCATGTCAGCGACAAAACAATTGAGCAAGTCGCACGTCGACCGACTGGTAAAGATAGAAGAACAACTTCTCTATCTAAGAAAAGTCCCAGATATCCTTCGTCTGCTGGAGGCCCGAGTTGATGAGTTCTCCGATAAGTTTGGAGAAATAGACGCAGTGAATGCCCGAGTAGACGGGTTGCCGATACAAGATATAGCCACAAGGGTTGAGGTCCTAGAAAGTAAAGCTACGCGTTATGGTAGCTTCGAACGTGGAGACAGTTCCACGAACCCAACCACATAGACAGAAGTACGTATGGGTGAGTTAAACAATTCGCAATCGGCAATGATGCAATTGTTTAACGAAATGACGAAGGACTTCAAAGTAACCATAGACACCATCCGAGCTGAGATAACTGAAATAAGCACTAGAATGAACCTGACCATGCGAGCCGTGGGAAATCAAGCTCCCAACCAAGCGAACATGGGGTTCAACAAGCTGAAGGTCCCAGAGCCCAAACCATTTAATGGCAATAGAGATGCGAAAGATCTCGAGAACTTCATGTTTGATGTAGAACAATACTTCAAGGCTACTAGGACAACGTCAGAAGAGATGAAAGTGACTTTGGCCACCATGCATCTTACTGATGATGCAAAGCTATGGTGGAGATCTAAAGTCAACGACATTCAGAATGGACGGTGCACGATCAACAACTGGGATGATCTTAAGAAGGAATTGAGGGGTCAGTTCTTCCCCGACAATGTCGAGTTCATGGCTAGAAGGAAGCTACGTGAACTCCGACACA